TTAAAGACAGAATTTTTAAAGCTAATGCAATACTTCAGAGGAAAGAAAATGGGACCACAATGTGCATTTGAATATGTACATGTGCAGCCAGGCAGTGCTTCAGTTTAACAACTCACTTGGAATCATCAGTCCAGTCAATACAAGTTGTTTCATCATATGGGCCATAGTAGGTTTTGTCCAGAACAAAAGCATTAAATTCTCTTTTCTTCCCAGGAGCATGGTACAGGTAAGCAAGGTTGTCTTTTGTAACCACAAATTTCCTGGCATAAAGGGGGGAAAAAGACATAATTGCACACAAATCTGATAAAGCAAACAACTCTTCAGTACAGACTGCAATACAATGAAACAATACAATAATAAAAAGATTCCTGTGCTACTGAAACAGTAAGAATGGATTGCTTTTGAACAAGAAGTATTTTCAGACTGATATTATCTCCCATTTCAGCATTATTAAAGAGAAAACTTCAGTAAAAATCAACTGAAGTTGAATATTGAAATTCTTATTCTCAAAGCCTCAAAACAGAAGGAAAAGGTCAAACATTCAAACAAGGATGTTCTGTTTCCAAGGCTTTGCTTTCCTTCTTTTCTTCCCCTCTCAATTTTACAAAGTGACCCTGATCAGCTCAAAATCTCCCCTGCCTCATGAATAAGAAACATTACCAGATTGGTTAGGATGGCTTCATATTCACAACTAGTTTATGGGGCATTTCCTGCTGTTTAATTCTAAAGCATGCACTCTTTACTTACTTGCCATCAGGGGAAAAACTGACACTGTGAACTGGCTTGTGAAAATAAAACTGATGTATCACACATTTCCCAATCAAACTCACAAGCAAGGCAGCTCCCTCTGTAAGGGCAGAAAAAAAGGATCATGAGAAAAACTGAGTTCCCAAAGAAATCATAACCCTTGCAAACCTTCTTTTCTTAAAGAGGGGGGGAAATTTTCAAGACAGTGTGCTTAATGTTATTAAAATAAAAAAATACTATTCAAATTATGAAATACTATCCAAATTCTGAAAACCAGCTATTTTTAAGTTATGTAAATAAAGCTAACTTCCACAAAAATTCTAAGGTAATTTTTATAGCGGATCACTTCTAATTTTGTGTTAAGGTTGAATACCTAACAATAAAGATTTCCTCCTCTCAAGGCTGCGTTTTTACCGAATTATTTTACAAAATAAATGTCTCTTTGTGCAAGTACCTTCATCAATCAGAATGGCAAGGCTTCCATCTGGAGAGAGCCCCACACACACAATATTGAGCCTTGTAGCCAACGGCAACGTCTCACACTTGTTACTGCAATAAAACCACACAACAGTAAAATGGGAACAGGAATGCAGGAAGAACATCTTCGGTGTCAGTGGAATTTCAGTGGTTTGATACCTTTGTTAAGGCCACAGACACAATTTGGACTCAAAACCCCACAATTTTGTTTAGCTACCACAATGCCATGAACAGCAGAGCTGGACTCGATGATCCATCCAGGCCGGGATGATCTGTAGTTCCACATGAGAGACAGGCTCCTGACTGGGATACGGGCACAGGGAGCATCAATCACAACTCTGGCACACAGGACAGGCCGATGATGCTCCACGTTTTGTTAGACACAAGAACCATACAACTAAATCAAACACAAATCCATTTCTTCCCTTTTCCTTTTTTTCCCCCTCTGAAATACACCTTTTCGTAACTCCTCTGCTGTTCTCCACATGGCTGTACCCACACAACACCTGACAGCTATTCCACTAGGAAGGCTTCTACCTTTCAATGCTAAAGCAGACGCTTTCCAGGATATTTTGGCAGGCCGAGCATCCCGGAGAGCCCCATGGGTCGGGCTCCAAAACCTCCTCAGAGCTTTATTCCCCCCGAAACCCCGGCAGCGCCAGGCCCTTCCCCGCTCTCTCACTTCTTGAGGTCGAAGAGGGAGATCCTGTTGCCGACGGGGCTGAGCAGGGAGTTGCCATCGCGGGTGAAGCTGAGGTTGCCGCGGCGGTACACGGTGCCCAGCAGGCCGGAGAACTGCGGGGGCAGGAAGGGGCAGGGTTAGAGGGGCTGGGGAGATGGGGATCGGGGGAGACGATGGGGAGATGGGATCGGGGGAGATGATGGGGAGATGGGATCGGGGGC